GAAGATAGATGGGCGAATCCTCCAGCAACAGAAACACAAGAAGGGGAATTTGGCAGTGTGAAATGATGCTGTAGGTTGTGTTTGCATACATGCTGCTTTCTCTGTGATAAGGCTTGGAGAGTTCTGCACAGACAGCTCTTTCTGTACCTAACATAATGGAAAACTGCCCTTAGAATAGTCTGCTTCTGTTTTCTCTGTGCTGGAATTTGGTTCTAGACATGGAGTTATGTCTAAGTGACACGAAGCCTTACTGTAAAGGGTTGTGGGCCAGGCACTAAATGGGGAGACTGAACATCTATGTTTTCTCTTCAGGCTGCAGATCTTTCTGACAGAGTGTTGGCAGCAGCACCTAGTTGGTCTCAGAGTGAGTTCAGGAACAGTATAGGCATCTGGAAATGCCAGTGTTAAGCAGAAGTGACAGCTAGACATACATCCACGTCAGGGATGTTTTGCTCTGTTGTGCTGCCTGGTGTAGTGGTGTAGCGGGAGTGTGTTTACGGTGGGAGAAATGCTTTCAGACGCCTGGTGATCTGAGGCTTTGAAGTGTTCAGAGGCTGTAGCAGCAGGTAGTTCTCCAGGGACACAGCTGGGTGCCTTGCAGGTGGCCTTACAACAGCCTTGTGCATGATACATAATAGCTGAGCCTTTTCTGCTCATGCTGAGTAGTATATTAGTTGTGGGGTGAAATTTCCTGAGGGCTTGAATTGCTTTATTGGTCCTGACGAATTTTCTGTTTTGTTGGGCTTTTTTGGAATCAAAACATATTCTTGACAGATCATTTAATAAATTGATACAGTTAAAATTGATTATGTTTTTCCTTTTGAGAAGTGTGTGTTCTTCACAAATACAGAAAAAGAATTCACACTCCTTGATTGCTTTCTTTTATGATCAGGAGGTGTATGTGTTATATACACCCTGTAGCGGTATTATAAAACCACTATATTTACAGTGTAAGGTGTATATAATAGCCTAGGGGAACAGAAAGTTTTCCTGCTCAAGTCTTAGAAGTCACCTTTCCAGCACCAGTAGTGTGCTAGAGCTTTGTCTCTCTTGCTGTGAATTACACCTCGTTAGTGGTTTGGGATTTCTTCTTGCTTTTTGTCTCTAAGTGGATAAATGCAAAGGGAAAACTGAGACATGTAGTAAGAGTACGATCCTCCTCCCATTGTTCTCAGTGGTGAAAACCTTTTAAAAGACATGAACACCTAGGCAACCTGAAAGGATCCTAACTATAAAAGAATCAGAATGGTCTTGGTGTATCTCCTGGAGTGATGATGCTAGCTGGCTAGGCTACTATGTTCATCCTTAACTTGCACAATCATGTAGCAGGATAGGCACTTAATAATACACCTTTTATCTCTGATATCAAATGATGATAGTGATGCATGTTTTGAATGTGTTTGTTTAGCTTCATCCTTTGGAGTTGTGTATTCTTCATATTCACTGTTATTCACATGGCTTTTGGTAGTGTGGGCTCTCTTAACATCTCATTAATTTTCCATCTGCTGTAGAACTCATTTCTCCCATGAGGTATATAATATTATCTTACAAAAGTTCTACATCTTCCAAATCCCAGTGATGCAGACTTCCCTTGTGTTTTTTTATTTTACCAAAACTGGGTTTAACTTTGTCTTGATCTTTAGTTATTTTTCTAGTCTTGGTGATCCTAATCCAGTTTGTGACTAAGGCTAGTATTTGGAAAACTGTTGATGAACAATAGTCATTTTGGATACTTAACGCAAGAGCATAATTTTGTTGAAAAGTGTCTGGAATCTTTCTAAAATAACTTAGGTTCATGTGCTTCAATAACACAGAAGAGCTGTTTTGAATCCTGTGTTTGTTTTGACTACAGTAGATTGTTCCTTCTCTATAATCCAGGAATGGTTCTTACTTCGTCTATTTAGACGTAAAAATCAAGATCATTAATCACTGAAGTAGCTGTAATTACCTGTGAACTTTTTCCTTCAGTGAGATCCCTCTTCTGGATTAAGTATGAAAATATGGAAAGAATGCTTAAAAGACAAATAACATCCTTTATTTTCCTCTTGCACTTTTATTGGTATACTCAGAGTGGGTGGATTGCTTATTAATGAAAGCAGATTTGGGTAGTACAGTGACCTGGTCTTGGCACTGTTGAAGGCAGTGATATTTTGCCATTAACTTTAATGGAAGTAGAGTTGAAGCTCTTATTTGAGATTTCAAAAGTCGTTAAATTTAATACTGTTATGGGCTGGATATTTTACTATCATTTGGCTGGCTCCTTCAGTTTTTGCACTTCTGTGTCTAAGTGGTGGTGGTTGTTTGAATCTGTGAATGCATGCCTTATAGTTGGGTTTTGTTTATTCAATGAGTAAATGTTTTCCCTATTGAAGTGAAGCCCTTGCCAAAGGTCATCTGTTAGCTACAGTTACAGATCTTAGTGGGTAGTAAAATCTCAGTCCCATGAGAAATTCTTCCACCTTTTTCTTCTAGTATTATGTACAGTCAGTTTACGCTGCTCAAAAAAATAGAACAGTCTCTTCAGTAACTTACTAATAACATGGTGTGTTTTCACTGTGTATTCACTAATTTTATGTGCAAGGAAACAGCTATTGCAGAACTATGTAAGAAACTATTTTTTCCCTTATTCATTGTAGGAAGTTAGTTGGCATGGAAAAAATACTCATCATAATATATCCTGAGGAAGGCTGGCTGCGTTTGAGTTGTCCCTTATGCATGGAAATTTTACTTAGTGTGCTTTCGTATAGTAAACATAATTTAAAATGAAGATCTGTAGTTTTGGTGCTAAGAGTTGACCTTTCATGTTGCATGGAGTAGTTAATTAATCCAGTGGCCTAACCCTTGTGTACATGGACTGTGTCTAAAGTAGAAGTACACATTTAAGACTGTTTTGATGTGTAGCATCTGTAGGTGACACAGTAAAGAAATGGAGATGGAAGATATGGTAGGGATTATTGTATTTCTCACCCTTGTAGCTTCTCTGTGGCATGAGAGAGACCTGGAAATCGCATCTGCATCTTTTAATACCTACATTAAAAAAAAAAAAAAAAAAAAGGGGCGGCCATATGCTTGCTTGCTTGTCTTCAGTTTATGGTAAGTTGTCATCAGAGCTGAATTAAAAGCACACGGGTAAAGATCCAGAAGTGCATCATACTGCTACTGCTCTAATTTTGCCAGATGCGTGAATTACTTGGGAAGAACTGCATTAAAACCTCCAGACTCACCAGCTCTACACCCACGGAATCAAACACCGCTTCGCCAATACAGCTTGTTGTTCTTACTTCCTTATCTTGTATTCAGGCTCCCTCCCCCAGGTCCAACAGTGTACAAAACACTCATACCCACAAATGAATTAGAGATTTCGAAGTGTCTGACTAGCTCGTGCAGTGGTCCAACTAGCTGAATACCTCAGTGGCAGATAGTTGGTCAGATATTAATGTCTTGCTGATGGAAAATATCAGAACCCACGAGAAGGGAATACTAATCTGTGTAGGTATGTGTGTGGTCTATGTATTCTAGTGAGGCTGTTGATTAAAGAAATCACATCTCTCTGAATGTTAAAATGTTAGTATTGTTATATTGCAGGAAAAATCTGTTTCTCTGTTCTGAATTTTAGCTATATCTGACACTTTTTGAGTGATTTCACTTACTCCCCTCTGACTTTTTTAGGTTGAGTTTGGGTATGGGCTGATAGGATCCTCAGAAGGAGTTTATACTGCTGCTTTTGTTTTTTTTCTCTAGTCTTCAAGAGAACATTTAAATAGAGTGGTAGCTAAATGATCTTCGAGTCTGGCTTTCCACACAGATTAGTAAATGGCAGTTAGTCACTTCCCCCCCCCCCCCCCCCTTTTTTTCCGTTCAGAGAAATAGAAAAATACAATTGTAAAATAGGGTGGCTTAGGAAGAGTGCCCGTGACTTTTTAAAAACCTTTCAAATCACCAGCTTTTATACTGAAACACTAACATTTGCTTAAAATAATCTTTTCTGTGTTCTTACCTCAGAATATAAGATTTCTAGCTGTTTGCTGCGTACCTTGCTTCAATTTTGACAATTAATGCCCAGAGTTGTAAAATCTGTGTTCATCTGTCAGAGTTCAACATGTAGGTCCTAGCTTCCCTATCATATAGGCCTTACTACAAGTCCTTCATCTCTGCAACCCATAAGGACTTATTGGCTTTTTTTTCATTACCGCTGTGTAGTTGGCAGTGGAAAATACCTGCTGTACCTGTAAGTCTTACTGAATTAAAATTCGTTGATTTGCACAGGTATAATATACTGTGGTGTCAAAGCAGTACCTTGTCAATGGAGTGTAGATTCTTTCTCTTTTTCCTTTTCTCCTGTTAAAATATTTCTGAAAGCTGACAGAGACTCTGTCAAAAGGTTTCAAGGCAAAAAGGTGTAATTTGTTTGGAATGTAATGAATAATTATGCAGACAAAAATTGTACAACTACACTGAGAGATTTTCTCAGGAGAAGAAACTACAACTTGTTTTGTGGGCTCTACACTGCGTGCATGACAGTGTGTGTCATTTTGAAAAGGCTTGCTCTGGTAAAAATTGGGTAACCGATACAGATATTTAGGACATCAATACATTAGCTTCAAAGAGTACATCTCAGGTGATCCGCGGGCCTCCTGTTCAGTTATTAATTTGCAGAAAGTGGTTTATTGATGCTCAGGGGGAAGGATGTTATGAGGTAGCTTTCTTCAGATGCTGAGTGAAGGCTGTTAAGTGCAGTGCAGCCAATACATGCATGTATCAGTAGAAAATTATAAACAAAACCAGAATAGCTATCACAGAAGTTTATGACTGAGTAACTTTTATTTTCTGGCTCATTTTGAAAGAGTCTTTTGGAGGTTTGTCATAGGAGCCTGTCTCTGGCTTGACTTAACTTATACAGTCCAGCTGAACTCAGTTGGCCACCTTGGGTGTGCAGAGAGAGTAAAGGCTTTTATTGATAGATGGCAGCGTGTCTCCAAATGATCATTTCTGTATCCTAGGTCTGTCCACCTGGTCCCAGCATTCCAGATCTCGACATCGGAGGACTTCATGTTCCAGACATGAAGATCGAAAACCTTCTGAGGTATTTCTGGAATTTGATTTGCATTTTGTTACATCTATCAAATATAAAGCTGTATACATGTTCTGGTAATGGATCCATTTCTTCAGATTTACATTTTCTTTTCTTTTTGCTACATTTTAGCTGGCACCTGCCCTTCACCCCCCCTTCTTACCAGGAGATTAGGGAGTTCAGCTGTTGGCACTGCCAGCACCAGTTTCGATCTGTGAATTTTGTTAGTCTGACACCCATTCAACGTAGCTGCTGAGTCTTTCTTGTAGTATTTTAGGCATGAGGGTTTATTTGTAGCTTGATTTGTTAACAGTGAAAATTTACATTAGGTGCATTTATTTCATAGTTTGTATTGGGTCTTGGTATGTGATCTTTGTTAAAGTGCTTGTCAAACTAGAAATCTGCTTCCTGACAGGTCTGTCTTGTGTAGTGCTTTGAGGAAATTTATCAAGGGAGATAGAAATCTTTGAACTTTCCAGGATGGATCAATTGTTAGTAACACATAAATGCGATCCAGTTCTTTGGAAATACTCCTGCTGAATCTCGCCTGTCTTCAGGCAAATACTACACTGCGGACTTTGTAGAGGTTGCAAAGAAAGCGTTAGCTTTGGGAGATGGAATTTCTTCATTTAACATATTTGCCCAATACATGTGTTTCTGATGCATTAGTGAGTGATTGATGTTGAGAAAAAACTTGCTTTATTAATCTCCCCAATGACAGTATACCCAAGTCCCAGAGAAGAGTTTTCACAAGAAGAATCCCATTCATTGTTCAGTGTGAACTACATCTAGTACTGGTGGTTTCCAGCCTTTTTTGATTGTCGGCTGTTAAAGACTTTTTTTTTTTTTTTTTTTTTTTTTTGTGAATGTGGAGACCCCTGCTGAATTTATTCTTGCTGGTGATAGGCTTGATTTCCTTAGTTACCTTTTGTACCTCCTTTGGAAGTAGCCCTTTAGTTTTGAGAATAACCTCATGAAAGGGTATCAAGAAATAATCCAAGATAATTACGAATCTTGTTGTTTTTTATGTGCTTCTGTGTTTTCCTCTCCCTTTCCTTGCATTTGTTGTCAGAATCTTTGCAATTTTGTGCTGTTCTCTCTTGTTTTCTCAGCCTGGATGGACTTCTCATATACTTTCTTTTAGCTTTGTTCCACAGTCTTTTACCCCTCTCACTCCCTCCCTCCATTTGCGTTGTTTCTGCTCACCACAGCACACTATGCTGATGATAAGTGTGCTGGCAGAAAAGTGACACTTGCTGAACTCCCCGGGTGAAATCCTGGTCTCACTGAAGTTGGTGGCAAAATTCCCATTGACTTCAGCGTGGCCAGGGTTTCACCCTTTAGCTTTGAAGTGTTCAGTGCTTCTGAGAGCCAGCACTTATGTAAGCTCTGCTTTGCTCCAGGCAGTCTGATTGAATCAGAAATTAGAGCAGAAAGAATGGTGTCACAGGGCCACTGGCCTGGGAAGGAGTTTCTTGGCTGTCAGGTGCTGCATTAGCTTTGCTTCTGAGGGATTTCTGCGACAAATTTATCTGAGAGCCTGAGTTACTTTGGCTCTCACGTTGAGCAAGTTTTGCGTCCCATTTTATATTTTTAGTCTTCTTTTCATTTGATGTTTGATTGCCTTAATTCAAATCACTTAGAAGTGCAGAATCCCCTGGCCAGCTGCGCTTGTTTGTTTTGTGAGCCAGTTTACTTTGTGGCTTATTTTTCATTTCTTGATTGGAGCCTCACAGGACTTGTAATTGGATTGTTTAAAACATTCCATTACATTTCATTACTTGCATTCACCCTTTCCTTCATATGGTAATATTATTCATTATTTTTTAATGTTGGCAGTTTTTCTGAACATGTCAAGACAAGTGTTAAGAAAAATGTCATGATTTTATGCTATTTTTGTCACAAAACCAGAGTGGAAACAGAAACATACTGAGACAGAAGTGTGGTAGTATGTATGTGTGTTGGGAAGGAGGAGAGGTTTCAAGACGTGCAGTGTGGTAAGGCAAATCATGCTTTGAAATATTCTCAGAAGTATAATTAACCATCAGGTTCACTGTTTGCCTAAAATACTTCCCCAAAATCGTAGGGAATCTATTGAGATTTCAGGTGTGTGAGTAGTGTATGACAGAAATTGCTGTCCTGGGGAGGCCTGCCTAATTAGCACTCTGTATAGACCTGGTTCTTCCTCAGCCATATGCAACAGTTGGTGGGAGCTCATGTAAAACAGTGTGGTTTGGGACTGGGAGGTTGTGTCACTTCCCCACCCCCCCCC